TACGAGAGGTTTGCATGCTTTACTTCAGCACATTCCCTCCTGATCCCCTCAGAGTGCATGCGACGTGATGGGCTCAGCGTGGAACCTGGAGCATGCAGTACTTTAATACGGCGTGGATGACTTGCTGTGCAGTAAACTGTGACAAATCAGCAGAATTAAATCCCTACTCTTCTGGCCTATCTCAACTAACTGTGATAGAGGAAAGTGCGCACCCCCCCTACACCCCACAAACACGTCAGACACCTACAAAACAAGCACATACTGTACCTACTACAGGGTCTCTGCAGTAAAATCAGCCTGAATGGAAATGCCTAGTAGATCCAACCTCCATGTATTTGCCTTATAATCGCACAATGGTTAGTACTTTGTCCAGTAGAGCGTGCAGTTCCATGCCTACTACTCATTTATGTTTATTTCAGAAAACAAGATCTGTCTGCAGATGTTAATCCTGACTTGTGACGTGCAGGGTATCGTGTGACTGTCGTGAATTTCATAGGAACCAGAGCTAACATATAACCAACCGTGCAAGACTCCTGTGTTGACAGTGTCCATCGTTAAGAGGAAGACATTTTAGAAATATACTGTAGAAAGAGAGAAACTCTCCCTGAAATGTTTTGGGCTTCTGAGTAAATGAAGGCACTTTATTTCTTATTTGAGTTCACTGTTTGAGGCCACACTGATGCACATCTAATTTAAAATAATGACTACTCTACAAAGGAAAATATCAAACGAACAGATTAGCATCAGCAAACGAAGTCCTGTTATTGTACTGCATTTGATTTGTAACATGCAACACTTTTGGGCTTCACAAGGAGACTAAAGGTTTGACTGTTGTCACAGTAGTTAACAGTGAGACACAAGGCTACCTCTACGCTGCCCCTCTACCCTTCGAACCCAGAATCTATTAGATCTGAAACACGTTTATTCAAGCCAATCTGTCATCGATGCCTGTTCAGTGTGTCCCGAGTTTATGTTGGTGCAGGATACAAGTACTGTATATAGATATATATATACATATATATCTACACCTTAATGTAGAGTAGTGAATGTATGATGAATTGAAAGCCAATGTATTTTCAAAAGCTGCCCAAAAAGGATTGTGCAGATGTCCGTCTTTGTGCGTGAAATGAAACAGTCCACCTTTATTTCCTCACACCGTTCTGTTCTCCATTCTCATCCTCATGTATTTTAAAATCTAGCCTATTTTTTCTATACACAAGAGTTGAACTGAAACTGCCAAAAAAGAATGTATGCAAAACATTCTGTAATACTTTCTGTACAATTCTCGGCCAACAGCCATGTAAACCTACGGTAATCCGATGTACATCCTTTCCTATTTACGGACCATGTCTTCAGACATTGCTTCTGTTCATTTTGAGTGACTGTTGCTCTTTTTGTACTTTGTCCATTTGTAAAATTGTTTTTAAATGTTTATACTTGATTTTCAAACTGCCTTTTTTGTACATTTAACTTTATAATCAAACAGTGCAAGCTTTCCCCATGGTGTCTTGAAGACCATATTGTTTTAAAAGTCTGCAATTGTGTGCTAGCTTTATGATAAGAATTATCAGCCTATATTGATGGTTACAAATTATTGTGTGGGTGTGCATGTGCAATCTTTTCTAAAAAAAAAAAATCTAAATAAATTTGATATTTTGTAAAGTTTGCATGTGTAATTTAACTTAAACAGGACAGGAGTTACATAAACACAAACAAATGTTTATTATCAAGTATTTACATCACAGAAATAACAGGATCCATGAAGGTGTTGACCCTTCACCCTTTATTACTAACAAAAATGGGACATTTCAGCAGGTTTCACTCCCCACTGTGGAGGACAGCCTATAAACAGTCTACAAACCACCAGGAAGCTCTCTGGTCTAATAAACAGCTAAATAAAGTTCTTATTTTCCCTATGAAAACAATGCTTTGATTAGATATTTTTCCTTACTCGAAAGGTAAACCCCAAACACAAACTTATACTGGCATGGAGCTCTAAGTGAATACAATAACATGTAGTCTTATGTTATTTCTCAGTTCACAGATCAGTTACTGCTCTCAGTATCTTCTTCTCACCAACAGATACCACGGTGAACATTCTTCATGTTGGCACATCAGCGTCTGAATAGTGTCTCTGCATGAAGACTTCAATAGAATACAAACCTCTTAAAACTGCTCAGTACACAGGGCTGTCTGACTCCATCTGATGCTAACACAACCAAACTCTTAGCACCTTCGAAAACTCAACTTGGTTCAATTAAACTGAAGAGAACTTTTCTAACAAAAGGTTTACATACAGACATTTCTTTACAAGGAAACTTCAGAGTCAGAGCCCAACACATTGCTCATCTTTTTTATCCCTATAGGTAGAAGAGGAGGTCGTCCAGTTTCATATTGGGCTCCCTGTGGATGCTCTGGCCCACAAGGAAAGCCAGCTTGTGGGCGTACTGGCAGGGGGCGGGCACTCTGATGATCCCCTAAAGCACAAAGAGCACAGTCACTCTCTGACCTTTACTGGGCTAACTGATGTTGGCTCTGATCAGTTTGTAGTGTCCACTCACTGTAACTCTGACGCTGTGACGTTAAAGCCAGCCTACCTGCCAGTTGTAGTACATGTGGCACAGCTTGTAGGTGAGCCGCTGCATGTGGTCAGGCTTCAGTCCGCTGGTGTCGTACACTACGTTGTAGTGGGTCGGGGAGACGCTTCCGGTGCGCACAGCCTGGCTCACGATGTAGAAGTCATACCTACCAAACAAGGGTTCAGCAGCAGTTCATGACCACTACACAAACACATGAAAAGATGCAGCAACAACTGAGAACATACCACTCTGGACGGGTGACCTCTGTATCGATGATGGTGCCCGGGGGAGGGTTGTCCACCCTGCCACTGATGTAGGCGAAGAACCTGCTGCTGATGCGCTTCTTCACCACCACCACACTCAGCTTGGGCCTACGACGGGCACACGGTGAGGCTCCATCAAAAACTGCAATTTACAGTGTCATCTGAGCTGCATTCATCAGGTTCAGTAACTAATGTAAGAGCAGTACCTTCAGACCAGTCAATATCTGATCACTTATTGGCATTACTGCTGTCCTCCCTGTGTTTAATACAGGTGGAGACTAACAGCCAACTGCACTGTTAAACATCAAAACCTTGGACTTTAAAAAAAGGACTCTCCAATTGATCGGCCACTCATCGGTCTCAGCAGATATTTGCTCTAATCAGTTTGATCTCTATTAGCTGACTATTCCACACTTATTCAGTGTCTGACACAGATTTACTTGGGCGTGTATTAGTGACAGTGACTCACGAGAGCAGAAGAGAGAGAGAAAGAGAGAGAGACGAGAGAGAGAGAGGAGAGAGAGCAACCTCTAAAAGCTACTGGCTTGGGGGACTTTAGAAAAGCAACAGAGCAGACACATGCAGGCTGTCCATTATACACGGAGAGAAGCAGAAAGAGGTGGGGGCAGGATGATGTAGGAGGAGGAAAGAGAAGAGAAAAGGCACATTAAAGTAGTTTATGAGTAGACACTAAGACACTAATATAAAGGTGGAGAACTGAGTTCAATAGAACAGTTACTCTGTGGGGAACAAGCTCTATAAGCTGCTCACAATAACCACAAATAGGCTGCTATGGTATCATGTTGGCTGCCAATAAACAAACAGTTGTCAATTCAATAACTGAATACGTTATTTAAATAGCTAATATACAATGTTGTTAAGGACTGTAAATAATCATTAATAAGGGTACAACATTAACTGTAAGGCTTTAAATATAGGGCAGTGGCCATTACTGCCTCCCTTAATGAACAGCTCACATGTAGTCGTGCCCCATGGACTTGATGGAGTCCATGATCTGTGCCACCTCATAGTTGACCACGCTGTGCAGCTGGCCGTCTCCCACGCCGTCTCGGTACACGATGATGCGTGAAGGCAGGCAGTTGTTGAACTTCAGATAGTCTTTGAGTGCACCTGGAAAACAAACACACTGACATTGTTCAAGGAGAATTCATGTGTGTATCAAATAAAAAGGAGAAATGTGGAAAATGAAGGAAAGCAACTTGCCACTTAAAGCCATCTTCAGTCCGTCCATGATTTCCTGACCTTTGTGCTGCAGCACACACTTTGAGAACCACCTTGATCAAGAAATATCACACAACTTATGGGTGGTACTGCAGCACTAAATCAAAGATTAGACTCACATCAACCTGCAGACACTGACCTGCTCATGCCCTGGTTGAGGCTGGCCACGAGAGCTCCAATGGACCTCTTCCCAGCAGTAATGTCATGGTAGCAGTCAATGCCCACAATCATCAGATGTTTGAGCTGCAGACGGACGTGGGACAAGTTAACTGTGTTTTTCATCATGCAACCTTCATTTTTTTTTTCTGGTGTGTGTTTTTATTTTTGTTTTTGTCCGACGCTCTCTTGCACCTTCAATTTCGTCCACCTCGTTTTTTCTGCACTTCATTGCCGACGATCTCTGCACCTTCATTCCATCCTCGTCTGTATGTTGCATTGCCACCTCGTCTGCACGTTTCAATTTCCACAACTCTTCTGCACCTTTCTTATTGCCACCTTCTCTTGCTACATTTTTCATTTTCCACGTGTTGTGTGTGTGTGTGTTTTGTGTGTGTGTGTGTATTGTGTTGTTAATCTGCACCGTTCATGTCGCCTCTCTCCTGCCACCGTTCATTCCGACACCTCTCTGACACCTTCATTCCACCTGCTTCTGCACCAGTTTTTTTTGGTTGTTGTTTTTTTTGTTTTTTTTCAGCCTTGGAAGCATATTTCACATGAAGCCCCCAAAAGAAGATAAAGTGAAGATGGGAAGAATTCCTTGCCGATTGGAGGACAGACGGAGCTTTGGATGTTTGTTTGTTAGTCTGAGCCTTTGTTTACACAGCGATAAACAAAGCTGAGTCACACCCAAACATGCTGTTAAACATCTTAAAATGAGTCAAACATTACATGGTACAATTTTCCTTCTCCATCTGCTCAATAACAACATGTGACAGCGTAATCCACCTGATAACTACTCAACTCTTGTTTTACCGTAACACACATTAACTTTTCATTTCTTCAGTGGACAAATTAATCAGTGTGCACATGACTTACGGGGATCTCCACACTCCAGAGCTCCCCTCCCATCTTGCAGGCCATCTGCAGTATAATCTTGGTAGCCACAGTCATGATTGCCTTGTTGAGAGTACGGGCAACCACACACTGGCTGGGAGTGGGGCAGTCCACACAAAGGTACTTCTTGATGCTGTCGTACTTGTCCTTCCTGTTGCTGGGGAGGATCACCACCACCTAACAAACAGGAAGGGGTCACGCTGCTTTGGAAACATTCAACTTCAGGGGTTCACAGCACTGATTCAATAAGCAAACGTCCAACCTCAAAACCAAAGCCACTAACCATCTCTGTCTGGGGTCCAACGTTGTGCTGCAGGGCTCTGAGGAGAGACTCCTGATGATCGTCATACTCGATCCTGAATAAGAGGGCCGCTTACATTAATCAAATGATAGAACAGCTAACTGACCAAGGTTAATACATCCTTCGAGGCAGAGGAAAGTCCTCCATCATTTTTTCTAATCGAGTTACTCGAGGAATGGTTGCAGCCCTAATACATCCTTAAAAATATTCTTCCATGACTAAATTAAAAATGTCAGACATCAATACCATTATCAGTACACCTAACTAAAAACTATTGTCATTTTATTGATCTACCCCAGAATTACAGACCAAACGTTGGACTGAAGAAGGTTTAGAATCTGTACTGTGAAAAGCCCCTCAACTTTTGGATTGTGGGAACAAAATTAGCACCAGCCACCATCCAAATGCTGGGAAAACATGCAAGCCGTTCAAGAGCACAACGAACTACAGAGTTAAATCAAGACGTCAGCAACAACTGAACATTATAACTTTTAGATAGAGTTTGAGCTAGTGGTACCTAATAAACTGCCACCTGAGATTATAGATATATATATTTTTAGGCTTTTAATGTCTTTAATTGATAGCGACAGGTGAGGAGTGACAGGAAAGTGGCGGGACAGAGAAAGAGGATGACACGCAAAATTAGCACAAATCACTTGATCACTCCCTGATGAGCTAAAGATTCAAGTCACTGGTTGGAGCATCGTACTGTCACTACTTCCACTGCAACCACTTCCTCCTATCCCAGGGTGGCACATTGTTCTTATGCCAGAACTCACATGATGGCTCTCTGTAAGCGGATACCGAGTGGAGCTGAGACTTTGTGGAGGGTCTGCAGGAGGGACTGGGCTTCACCACCGTTACGCCGGGTGTGAAACATGAGCCAGTTATTGAGTGGAGGAGCGCTGATCACAGGCAACCCACGCATCTCTCTGGACCAGTCAGCTGCCTTGGGGTTGTAATCATACTAGGGGACACAAATCATGATGTTAATCTCTCAATAAAGATCACATGAATAAATCCATTTAATGAATTCAAAAGAGCAGGTTTATGTATATATTATACCGATCTTGTTCCCTGGAAAATCCTCTCCCCTGGGAGGACTCTGCCTTTCAGATTCAGTAGTTTCTTATCGAAGTTGAGTCCCCACTTATCCAACTCCGACTGTGCATCAGCATTCCTGTGAAATAATTTGTAGGATTTAAACCAAAGCCTCTGGATAATACTGCCTGAAGAGGAAGTGTTTTAACTTGCATATGAACAGACCAATTACACAGGCTGCTGAGATGAGAAGAGCCTTCATGATTGATTAGAAGATGATTGTTTACAAGTATTTAAACAGGAAGTGAAAAGCAGTTCTGACCAGGTCAATGTTAACATGTTGTGAAGTCCGCTGTCAAGTAGGAACTTAAATAATTAGGATTTTCAGGGCCTTGAAATTGCATCTCTGTGTTGATTCCATGCATGAATTTCAACAATGATCAGCTTATTATGAACAGATAAAACACAGTTAATGATTAACTCTGGGACACTGATCACCTACTTCTGTATATTTGTGATAAATCTGTTGAGGCGTCCCTCCCTCTGCTCTGGCGTCAGTCTGGTGTGGACGCTCAAGTCTTTCATGATGTGGAAGTCAGCTCGCATCTTGTCAGTCAAGCCTGTCAAACGCAAAGTTCTCATTTAAAGTGGATGACATCTGACCAGACTAAGAGCTTCTGTGACAATTAACTGCTGTCACCAAGATCCACACAAGGATTACTGCAACACGTTCATGCTCTTGATCACAGTAGGGATGGACAGAATATTTCCAGGTTTTATTATTTTAATCAATTCCCAGGTGGAAATGTCTAGGTTTTCCAGGACGTGTGGGAACCCGACTATCAGAAGACAATGCCTGTTAAAACTCTCAGATACACACCAACATGTTAAGTGTGAATAAAGAGTGACACACTGGACAACGCGGCAGTAACCTGTAAGGTAGCACAGCTCTGGGATGAGCATGGCCGGCCCTGGAGGAGGAGCTCCAGCAGGACCCAGCCTCTTCACACGGCTGATCAGCAGCACCTGGTTCTCGTCACTGATGTCCAGTCCATATTGCTTCAAACAGGAAGTCCATGAATACGGTTAATATTTGGCTGTATCATTGTGCTCTCTTACTACATTCATTTCCTTCTCTTTGCCCAATACTTAAACTGAATGCGTTCCAATACGTCAATGCAACATGTATTGTGTCTGTCTGATACTTTATTGTTCCAGTTACACCAATACTTGTGTTGAGTGCGTGCCACCTACAGTCTTGTAATAGTTCTTGAAGGAAATGTCTGCATCTCCCCTCTTGAACGTGTTTTTGGGAGTGTGATCCCATGCAATGTCATCAATCCTGTAGGTTTTGTTGTTGTACCTAAAACATTGAGGCAGCAAGAGAAGAGTATTAAATTCAGTGAAGTTATGATGCATTTGTGGGCCTGGTAAACTTTTATTAAATGACTTCAGAGCTCAGTGTCACATCAACCTCTACAAACTCATGTGTGTGTAATCTGGATCCTACTTAGTGAGGACAATAAGTCCAACGAGCTCCTTAGTGCAGATCTCAGGGAAGCGTTGAGGTCCACACTGTTGCCTCAGGTTGCCCATAAAGTCGAGGACCGTCTCACTACGCAGCACCCTGTGGCTCACGTCAGTACACATCATGATGGACTGCTCGTACTGCAAGATGCTGGTGGAGTAGCCTGGCCAGATTGTCAGCCTAGGATAGACAGAACAGACGCAGTTTTTCATTTCACACCTGATAAAACTGTTCTTATCAGATTGCTTGTTAACACTCCCCATCACAGACTTCATTTCTTACAGTATACATTTACAAAACTTTAAAGAGTAAAAACTTACCCTATCATCTGAATATACTCTTAGTTCCCAGTTTTAAAAATAAAATATAAGTTTAAGACTTTATTGTTAGGCCAGGCTGAAAAAGAGTGAACCTACTGTGCCCAGTTTGGGTTATTAATAATCCAAGATAATAATCAAAGTGTGTGAAGTAAAATGCTATTTAAAATGTTTTGTGTTAATATGGAGCTCAGATTTTCAAAATAAACTTTATAAATCTCAACACGTATGTGCAAGATACAGCGATATAAAAGAAAATAATAGTGAAGGAAATGAATATACTTGTGCTGTGGGACGTTGAGTGGATCATTGGGGTTGTAGTAGTTGCGTCCAATCTGCTGCATGTCTAGCATTCTCAGGATCCTGTAGAAATAAAACACCCAAAAATAAAAAACATCCAAAACTCTGAACTTTATTGGAATGTTCAGCTTTTGTTATCAGATAAGTTGTAAGATTTAGTTCTATTTGAACAGTTAACACCAATACTCGTTACAAGCAAATGTAATTATTCATTTCATTTGGCTGATGCATGACGTATTTGGGTACTTGCTGTGCATCACTTTATTTAAAGAGAATTTACCTTCTGAATATGATGTTGTAAAACTGAATGCACACCGGGGAGGAGGGTGGCAGCTCATTTGTCAGGGTGACAGTTATCTGAACCTTCTCTCCATTCCTTGTCTCGCTGTGGAGCACAGTTTCCTACACACAAGGAAGGAAACCAACATTTTTTCAGGAGGGAACTAAATTTACCAGACAAACTTTCCCTCCTAATGAAGTTACAGAACAATTGAACCTTCAAGTCAAATCAAATTCACAGCAACACTTCCACAAAAGAGGGCAGGTTGAGCAAAACAAACCAATTTAAGCCAAACTTTGAACAGCGATTTACTTGTGCTCACACCCCCAGCATCGGTCATAATGGGATAATTGGTGATTTGACAGCTATACAGGAGCTCTATAACATAACAGACAGCACGGGAATCTAATGACCTCAACTGAATAGAGTTAGCTTTGATCCAGCAACAGTTGGTAAAAACACTTGTGTCTCATGTTTCAATTACCAGATTACCTTGCTGTGCAATCTGTGGGGCAGAAAAAGCAGAGCTCCATCAAAGCTCCGTGCTGACCCAAGTACTTCATCGTGATGGAAGAGGAGGGCCGATCTCAGGCGGCGAGACTCCATTGGCGGTTTGTAGTCCACATGGTACTGATACAGAACCCACTGAGGGCGGGACATGATTCGAAAGAAGTTTGCCGTCAGGTTAATGGCACTGCCAGAGTTTCCTGAGGGAGAACGCACACAATTTTAGGGAGTAATTCATAATCCTCCTTACACAACGTACATTTGCTCAACGTGTTAGTGCACGAGTTTCAAATGATGACAGACCAGTCTTTGACTCCTTAACGTGCTCCATAGCCTGTCTGGTGTTAACCCCTGCATCGTGATAATCCCGCCGTCGTCCACCTCTTTCTCCCAGCTTCACCTGCTGAAACCCGGCTGAGATCTGTAGAACCGCTAATAAAAACAAATGAAAGCTGTCAGGACCAGTATGCACACATTGGGATTCTTACGTACATTGATTGATTTGTGGCAGTTCAGCACAATATTAACACTGACCACCACTGCTGTTTAAAATGGGAACATCTTTTTATCATTTTTATTGTTAAGCTGCACAGCACATTGATTCACTCAGCCCCTCCTTTCAGAAACACTTTGACACCAGACCCGTCGCCTCTTAGATTGGCACGTGAATCAGCGCCGTTGGTCCGATACCCAAAGAGCAATCTCCAATTTTCACACTTTTAAAAGCAAAATGAGGAACAAAGATCATCTGAGATAGGAACCAGATGTACCTTCTGCAGAAAAAGGTCCTGGAGCACCTTTCTGCCTCCCTCTACCGACCAGCTCTCCCTCTGCGGGCGGGGCTGGCGCTGGTGTAGGCTCTCGAGCTTGGCTCTTTCAGAAAGAAAAAGAACATGTGGGAATACAGCGTTAAGGAAAGAGTCCATTATCATCAAGGGAAGAAAGTCAAAGCTGACCCAGTTTCAGCATCTTGCCAATTATTTTTAATGTATGTATTATCAAGGGCACTGTTCAAACCAAATTTGAGTTTTCCCTTTACATTCAATGTATTTCTGATAGAGCAGCCTGTCCTTCCTCGCTCAAACCTGCTCCAAGCACAATTAAGGCATTGATGTATTAAATTAACTGGATACAATCAAGGTATCACCGATTTAAACTTTCTTTCAGTATTTTTCTCTTCTCAGTTGATCAAAAAACAATCTGCAGATATGGTGCTGATCACTGCACAGGAAGAAACACCTCAATCTGAAAAGTAAAAGGTTGCAGCTAGTAAAAAGTACAACATTTGCCTCTGAGATGTAGGAGAGTACAAATATAAAGCTGCACTAACACATTCAAATAAAAGTACAAGTACCTCAAATTTGTACTTACACCCGACCACTGCAGGACACACAGAAACAACAAGAGCAGCATTTCCAGGCTCTGAGAAAGGTTTCTACAAATCCAGCTCACGGTGTGGTAATGATCCCCACTGTGTGCCATCTGAGATATTAGAGGCAGAGCCAATAAGGCTGTGTTTTAAAGGAGCTGTCTTTCATTTCGTCTCTAAAAAGGCACCTCCAATGGGAACAGTAAGGTCTGTGTCATCCTCAGTTACAGGGGGAAATCATTCAGATGTCATCACTCATTGCTGAGCACCACAAACCCAAAATACATTCACCTCCAATTAGAGCGGTGCGACCTGATGACAGAAAAACTACTGTTTCATATTTCGCTCCATTGTTTGTGTCGTTGCATCAGAGTTCATGAGAAACACACCTGGTCTGAAGGGACTGATGAGGAAGGGACGCAAACTACTTCAATCTGCTCACCTTGCTTTCTCTCTCGCACATAAAACAAACACATTTCACCCTGAACCTTACTCCACCCCAAGGTACAAGTCCCATTTCATTTGATCTTTCTTCATGCAAATTAGAATCAGTTTATCCAGAGCTCACAGAGAATCATAGTCTTACACCTTGAATAAAAAAGAGCTTTGTGTGTGTCTATAAGTTGTGGCAGAGGCAGACAAAGGATCTCCACCCCTCATCATGTTTTACCAACACACAGACATCATTTATATTAAGTTCTTGCTTTGTCCACCATCGTACGGCATATATGAACTCGTATCGTTACAGTAGGCGTTGACCTAATACCAGGCAAACTGGACACAGCGACCACCCAACAGTAACACTGCACAGCCTAAACCAACGTGTTAGTGTGCCCCGACGAGAACCGCTTCAGAGTCAAAGCACATCTGCAACAGATCAAATATGAACATTAAAGAGAGAGAGACAACAAAAACAGCACAGTTTCCAAATCGACCAAATTATTAAACTCACACACTGACGTTTAAAAGCAGCACAACCTGCCAGTTTGTTGTTTAAAAAAATAACAGGAACAGTGTGTGTGAGTGACAGCAAAGCTTCCCCACTGATCTCAGGCCAGTAACAACCTCATTAACCTCCATTAAGTACCAATGTGAGTACTAAATGGCCTTTGCTGCCAGCACTAGTGAGATATCTGCTGCAGTGACTCATTTCCATCAGTGTTAATTAAGTCTAACAACTACATAACGGGTTTTTTTATAATGGTGATATTTAATAAGGACAGTGCTGAATATTTCAGAGTCACACAGGGATTAATGGGCGACAGAAACAGAGATTAGAGAAGTTAGAAACTGCTCTTACCGCTCCAGGTGTCGCAGTCTCTTGACCACGTGCTCTGCCTCTCGATCTTGCTCTCGCACGGCCGGTCATTTTCTGAGAAACAAACCGAACTTTAATGTAATATATGAGGAGCAATTAACTTAAGCACTAATCACGAAACAACAGCATCATAAAACTGAAATTTGACAGCTTTAAAAAGCGTGAAATAAAACTCTTGCAGACAAGATGGCGTCTGCTAATTAAGGGCTCACCACCAAATAAATATTTTTTTCTCCCTTTTTGCAGGATGTGACAATAACACATAAGATTTTAAGTGTTAGTACGATAAGTTAAATCTGTTATACTCAATATAAACTCAGAATAATCCCACGTTAAGGCTGATTTACTAGCTGATTAACGTTAATTAGCTAACATACTTGCTTGCTAAAAGTGGTATAATTTCGATTAAATATACACTTGGTGAACATATAAAATTAACCCATAACATTGAATGTGAATATTTAACATATGTTTTGTGTTTTTTTAACGGAAATACTCACTTTTAAAGTAGGTTTATTGTAATTCACTAATCGATCCGCAGGTACGTCAGAGATGAAGAAAACGTCCCTCGCGACAATTTAGATATAGGCCTCTTCACTGAGAAAATCAATACGCTTCTACTTTTTTTTTTTTACTTTCGTCAAACCCTTCTTCAGTCTATATAAAGTGTAAGTATCTACTACAAGCGCAGTTGTTCAGAATTAATCCAATAAAGACGTAATGGAAGAGTTGCTAAAGTGATTGATCAGAAAAGACAACGGACTACTTTTTTAAGCGCAGTGATCAAGTGCTGCTGTCTTTAAACAGTGCAATATCAGTTATGACCACTAGATGGCAGCAAAGCCTCTACAGTGAATATACAGACTGGGTTATAAACACCTACTTCACACTGATGAAACCCTGGGCTCTGATACACATACTAATAATGATAATAAGCATAATAATAAAAATAAATAAGAATTAAAACATTCCAGGAGGCAGTAGGCAAAAATAAAATTAAAAAAATTAAAATCATAAAGAAGTTAGGTAAGAATAAAAGACCTCCCATGAATAAAAACAAATACTAACAATAAAAAAGATTGCAAAATTAACACTGGGCGAATAATATAAACAGTTAAAATCATACAAATTAAAGAATAGAATACCCATAGCTCATATATGATAAGAGCAATAATACTAATAAAATAAGAGACATTAAGCAGGGTGCATTGATAAACTTAAAGGCTTTTGTAAAAGAGATAAGTTTTAAGAAGTGATTCAAAAGATGTCACTGGTTCAGCAAGCCTCAGACCCCCAAGCAGGGAGTTCCAGAGTGGTGGGGCCCTGACTGGAAAAGCACCAAGGTTTAGCCTATAAATCAGCAACAAACTGATAAATAAGGTTATTGATTAAAATCAGTAATGTAGGAGTAAAATGAAAGATTTTCAGTGGTTCCCACCCTTTTTCTTAAGGGACACCCTTTCTATCATTGAGGATGGATATGGATATTTCATATTAAATGTAATGTATGACAATAACAGTACAGAACAACAAGAAATGTGTAGGATTAACCCAAACAATGACCACAATAACTGCAGGAAGTCTGTGTCAAACAAGAGATTTGGATACATTTTGATTATTTCCTGTGAATATTGGATCTGAATATTTTTAATTTTTTAGCAATCATACAAACTTAATAGGTTTCTTTATTGACTAATTCCTTCTTTCTTCTCCCTGACCCAGAGGATTAAGTATACTTCCAGTTTGTGAACATTATTTTAGTAAATCAACATCATAAAAAATTTATGTGACGTTTAAACAGTGGGTAAATTAAGTAAAGTTATAGGTGCTTATAAGAAATAAGCCTTAAAGGTCCAGTGTGTAACATAGGAGGATATATTATCAGAAATGGAATATAAATTCCACAGTAGCTTTCATTTAGTGTATAACACAGAATGCGCTTAGAATAAACTTATAATCTACAGACACTGCGATTGACTCCACCATGTGATGTTCTACGTACCCAAATGACAAACCAAACACTGACGTATATATAGCCTTCATGTTTTAGGAGGATTGCATCCACCATATTCTCCACACACTCACAGCCTGTTCTAAAGTTGTGTTCAGTAGTTCCAATCTGCAACTTTACCACAGATGCCACTAAATCCTGCATGCTGACCTGCTGACCAGTAAGGACTTAATGGATTCTGCTTGCTTGAAAAACCTTGGGAAGGCCTGGAGTTGATCATTCCCTTTCTCACGGAGGTTACCTTTGATGATGAAAAAGTAATGATTCAGAAATGTTAAATGTTAAGAATGGTTTTAAAAAAGTTAAAAATTCCTCTCATGCGCTCCTTTTAAGAGGCAACTGATCCCGAGCTATTATTTCTTCCCAAACTTTTCCTCTCTTCTCCACATCCTACCATTGGAAACAGAACTTGGCACCTCAGAGGGCATTTTTAGGAAGATGTACGCAAGTCTTTCATGTCTGAGATCTAAGAGTGATTACAGATTCAGACCTGAGGGACCAGTCTGAGAGGACCTGCTTCAGTCACTGTTTACCTGCTGGAAGAAGGCTGAGGGGAGATGAAGAAAAAGGCAGGGACATCAGTGTCATCAAGCCTGATCGTGGGGTAAAAAGGGAAAGTCACACCAAAAGCCACATAAGACACAGAAATCCACTAGGGTATGTGTGCAATTACAGATGCAATTCAACGTTACACACACACATAGTAATAATATGTCGTCAAAATGCTGCACAATATGCACCTGACACAAACAGTCCAGTACTGTAAAAGCTTTGATTTGAAAAAGAAGAAAGTTTTCTTCAAAAAAACACGCTATCTCTTAAAAAACAACAAAGGCCATTGAAAGAGAGCAAAAATGAAAGAAAAAAGATGAAAATGTGGCCAGGGAGAGGGCTGCAAGCTGAGCGGTGTGAGGCTGAGAAAGGTGCACCCTGCCAGGGACGTTGATGAATGCGCTTCAGGCTTCAAGCTCACACAGCGGCGTGATCTCACGCTACGCTAATCACCTCTGTGAGATACCACGGCCCAAAACTGATGAAGAAACAGCCAAACACATTAGTAATTCAACATAACTGCTTCATTTCAACAAAAATACACACCCTCAATCTTTACATTATTATCACCACAACCACGAATTGTCACCACTGTCTCACCGCACTGTCAGAACGTTTCTGTATTTATGTGATCACAGACTTTGAAAACCACGTAATCCACTGCTCCATTAACCGATTGCAAAATAAAACAAGTTGGGGATTCTAAATAATAAGATCCTACCGTGCCAGATAGCAGTAAGCGTTGAAAATAAGATTATTCTCTTCCTGCCGTGAACTAATCTCCTGCACACGTTTTTCCCCCTTAAAAAAGACCAAGCCACTGCATCACACACACAAACACACACCGTGGTTTTAAGCCCATCATATAACAGCACAGACCCATACTATTTATTATAAGACGGAAAACGCCACAACATTCCCGCTTTTTACGACGGTGCACAACTTGTTTTTTCAAAGAATATTCGCTTCCAGTAGCAGTTCA